CCCCAAAACCCCAAAACCCCAAAACCCCAAAACCCCAAAACCCCAGTGACAGCAGTTAAAGTAGAAAATGTGTTAAATAATTTTAAAAAGGGTTACTTAAGAGCAAATTCAGATTTTGGAGCAGCCGTCAGCCCAAAGTCTATCTTTACCATCCGAGTTGGAGTCTTGGGCATGTTCTTGGGAGGAGCGAAGCAAGGTGAGAGCTGATTTTTATTGTTTGGCTTAATAGCATACTCTTTTGTGACGAAGCCTCCAGCTTGAGTTGCCTTTTTAGATGACTCTTCAAAAGGTGACATAGTGAAAGAGTGAGAGGAGGGAGTTGAAATGAAACTCATGTTCTTGGACTGTAGAGATGCCTTTAATTTAGACTTTGCACCCTCATAATCCAACTTGCCCATGATAGATTTCTTCCTCCTGAAGAATCTCTTTTTGATATCTGATAGTCCTTCTTCCTTTTCTCTCTGAGAGTCTTTCTCTACAGTAGTTATCATATTCATATATTCTTCTTTAACCAAAGATTGTTCTTTTACATCATGAGTTTGGGACAACCGAATTTTCATTTCAGCTTTAAGCTCAGCAATTTTCTCAAATTTCTTGGCAGTAAGCTCCTCGATGAAATTATTTGTGGCTTCTTCTTTTTCTACTTGGATAGTTTCAAACACATTTTCACATTGATTCCAGATGTCTTTAAGATTTTCTTCAAGAAGCTCATCCTCGCTTTCATCCTCCTCATCTTCCTCGCTGAGGGAAGTCTCAATCCTAAGATTCTTGTGAGGTGGCACATAAGGTGTTTTAGTAGTAATGTTAAAGGTTGAGGTTGTGGTATCTGGCAACTTATTGAATATATCCATATTAAAGCTCTCGTCATCTTCAATGTCACTAGCTTCTCTTTTAATAATACTCATATTTTGCATATTACTACTATTCTCTCTTTCAAACCTATTACCAAGAGTGGCTGATTCAAACCTAAAGAATGACTTGGAGTTTGCGTTTTTGCAACTGTTGATGAAGCCCTTCTTTCTCCTTCTTTCAGCTAGTCTCTTTTGCAAGTCAGTACTCTGCTTGATAAGGTCTTTGGCTACTTGGTCCACACTAGTGTCCTCAGCTTTATGAGTTTCCTCTATAATCTTTTCTAGTGTCTGTTTCTTTTCTTTAATTTTGTTCTCTTCTCTGACAGTCATCTGATGACTTCGTTCTTTCTTCTTTCTGTTATACTCTTGTGCCTTTTTGATAGATTTCTGATGATGATCCATATTCTTTTCTTGCTTTCTTTTAGAAATAATTTCCTGATCTTTTTGGAGTAGTTTCTGAGGATCTTTAGAGGTGAGCATCATCCTTTCAAGCACGTTGGGTTTCATAAGTGTTGCTTGTATCCTATCAGCATAATAACTCGCCTTATCGCTGTTGATACTGTTGTAGTATTCTACAACTTGAGAATATATTAACATAAGTTCATCCAAATCCTCTTTGATAAATTCTCCTTTGTCGATCCATGATTCTATTTCAAGGACTTTTTCAGGGAAGGTGTCTGGTAGCTCTACTTTTCTTTCCTCTCGTCTTTTGCGATGTTGTAGTGGGGAGGTCTGTCCAGGCCTCATTGAGTGCCTGCTTCCTCTACTATCCCCATTCATTTTAGATAATAGTTATAAAATTCAATATTTTAGTTATGTAATGGGGTTTTGGGGTTTTGGGGTTTTGGGGTTTTGGGGGTTTTGGGG